ATCCTGAACAGCGTATTTGTGTGAAGCAGTCTAAGATGTCATCAGTGGTCCTGGAGAGGATCCAACCCACAGATATCTGGAGTGGGAATGTACTCAACGGTCATAAGGAAATGAGCAGGCCACCTGCGGGAATAAATGACCTGCTCTCTGGCATGTAGGCCAACACGCAGCAGTGAACTCAAGTGAAGCATCATCTTAGAATCCCTCTGAGAAAAAAGCCTCAGGAGCACAGATGGAAGCAGAGAGATGAATATGACCTGCAAATGGAAGTCGTACTGAATTACATGAGATCTCCCCAAAAAAATCTTGACTGCGGTCTTTAGTTCCTTTGGAAGAAGTTGCGGAAGATGCCGAACGGTGGAACAGCCTTGAAAATATTCATATTACAAAGACCCGATTGCCTTCACAGACACAGACTTTCACTTCTCATCGATTGCCTCGGTCCAGTCATTGCCCAACATGTAATCCACCCATTTCTCTACCTGATTCTCTCTCTGTGCAAAGACTCAATTCTTCTTAGTGCTCCACCTTTCTCCACCCTCTTCCTTTTTCTCCCTAAGCTCTATTCCTCCCTCTTTTTGCTTTCCCATACACGGTGCACACAAAAAAAATCTAATTACAACACAGCTAAACCTATATGGGAACAGCAAGCCTCTCATTCTGTGGTAGAGGGAGGGTGAAATGCTTGCTGCCATCAAACCTCAAAATTGCAGTATGTCAAACCAAGACCCATAGCTTGCCCTGTGCAACAGTGGGATCACTCATCAGCAATGTGGGTAGACCTAATTGTCCGGGGAACCCTTTTGTAATCAGGACTACTTTAGCTCTTGCTCAGAGATTTGGTGACTAAGGCATGCAGGGCTTGCTATTTCTGTACATCAGACAAGAAGATATTTCAGTCTGAAGCAACGCAGCAACCACTTAGCAAACACAAAGCCATCAGAATGACTTACACTTCAGTGTTAACTCTAGGAATGCTTGAGAGTAAACTCTTTGCATTACAGCTAAAACCCTTTCAAAGGCAAACACACAGATACACACTCCCAAATTATGCAGGGGGGCAGGGAGTCTAAAATAAGGAACTGATGGATCAGTTCCGCTGTGGCTGACTACTACCATTGACTGTCCAGTAAGAGAAGAGTCCACAAGCTAATTATAAAACACTGTGCTACTCCCACGACTTTGTTACAAACACTGACGTGCCAAAACCTGTTGTGTCACAAGGCCAGCAGTCTCCACGAGGGAAAATAAGGACACACTAATTTTGCAACTGCAAAAATAACAAAAATTTCAACAATGAACCCACAAAGTCTTAATTAAGGTGTGTTTCTGTTAGTAAGATCTTTTGTATAAGACTAATGCTGGCAGGCTGAAGTACTGTGCTTCAGCACTAACAAACAAGCCCAACTGACCTACACACATTGCAACAGTGACCGAAATGCAAACAAACTCTGGTCAAGTGAGGAAAGTAACTTCCTAAAGCCTGAACAATGTTTTAAATTACAATAGACTCAGTAGTAGCATTGCAGCAGAGAGGCTACACTCTGCTACTGGAGATGTAAAGTTACCGACTTAATTGAGTTTAAATCACTTTAACAAGTAGATAAAAAGCTGCACATTCTCACGCAGCTCTCTCTGCTTTGGTCTGCATTGCGAGTAAGACTGTGACCCTCAACCAAACCAGTTAGCCTCATAGTTATGTTTCATGTGCAGCTCAGTGGGTAAAGGTCAGAAGTCAATGGTTTGGTACAAAGTATTCCGGAGTGAGAGCCAAAATATAGTTCTTCTTTTTCTTTTTATTGAATCAAGAGTTGCTTTTAATTAAGAATCAATTCTGAAATGAACAGTAACACACACACACACACACAAAAAAAAAACAGAACTGCAACGTGAATGCACTTTTAGTGCACAAGCACAAAAACGTGGCTTAATAAATATGCCATTATGAGGGTTACCAAACAATATTTTTTTCCAACACAGCATGGAAAAGGGCACCAGCACTTTGAAATTTAATGTCTTTCTTCGCAATTTTAGAACCGCTTGCGTGAATGAAGACTTTATACTCAGGATGGCACGTGTCTCAGCAAAAGAGCAAGTTACCCAAGATAGTACTTGCCTGCTTTTATACAGGAATGTTGTCCTTAAAAGTGGATTCAGGTTTATCATCAGTTTATTCTGGAAAGTGAATCTGCTTCACTTAAACTCTATCACTTGTCTCAAAAACCTCAACGATGATAAATCCTGTTTAAGGATACATTAAATGCATCACTGCCGACCATAACTGCAACAGTGGAATCATTCTAGAGCATCTAATTAGTTCATTAAAGCATTACAACCAACAAAGGAAAAAAAGAAGTACAACATATTTGATTAACAATTTTACTAATTACAGTAAACATACATAAAACGCTGCTGGAACGCTTCTAAGCAGAGTCTGAAAGGCACAATGCAGGATTGTAAGAAGGCCAAAATAAGTCTCTATGCCAAATACGGCAACTGAGAGATATGCAAAATGTACATTCTACTTAAAACCTGAGCTTAACCAAATCATTTTATATTACTTATCATTAGCTTGCTTTGCTCTGCTGAGTAAAATGAAATTTCTGAATGTTTGACACACAGAAAAAGAGACACCTTAAAGCTGTTATTTGTTGACACAGACATAGCAAACTAGATATTCATTTCACATTATGTTTATGTAAAGGCAGCTCTGCTTCAAAAAAGGGTGTCTAAGTGTGACCTGACAAATAAAAACACACTCCCAATTTCTAAATCCTCTCCACCCAGTTTGTTCTCTCAGAGCACTGAGATGCAAGTTTGGCTGTGCGCTGCTGTTCGTTTTTGGGCAACACCACCAGACACTGAATGTGTTTATGGATTACAGTTCAGGCTGCCTGAGTGATGAAGTCATGTGGGTGCGTATACACAGAGTGGGGTCCAGTGTTGAAACATCCAAAAGAACCACCCATTTGATTCCCTTGGGGGGGTGACATCCTAACTAAGCTCCACACAACAGGTTGCAGAGGCGACCCTCAACAGGTAACGCTGTCTGTGTTTACCTCCCAAGAAAAAACGAACAGCAAGCAACAGCAGGAGACTGTGTCCATGGTGATTAGGGAGTATGCTGATGCAGCTATTGAATCTGGTGGAAACACTGGCCATAAGTCTCCTGCTGGAGCTCAATGTCCAATGTGTGCATTGACCTACTTAGACTGTGTGCTATGGTAACCATTTGCATGGTACATCTTTGCAGCATCATATCACTTTTTAACCCTTAACCCACGACTATTTCCATGTGCAGATAATCCCTACTCACAGGTGGGAATTTTATTACACTTTCTCACATTCGTTTTCTTTTCAAGGCACCACTATATCTACCTCAGTCTATTAAAACTGGTCCCGTTTCTTTAGATTCTCCACAGAACAAGTCGACTTAGACAACAGGTTCCTTTTAACACCGTCCATTTTTCAACTTCTTGTACACTCTCTCTCCCCCCTTGAGAAAAGGCTTACTACACCAAAGCTATGCCGGCTGGAGAGTTTTTCAGTGTTGCCACGAGCCTTTCCATTACACTGACAGCCAGCATAGTGTGTCCTTGGGGACATATTTTGGATCAATGGGTACATGACAACAGACCAACAAGTGACCCAGTAAACACCACTGGGAAGCCTGGAGTGAACGGATGCAAGAGAGAAGTGATAGTCTGGGATCAGATCCAAAGATACCTTCACCTGTTTTGAACTTATCTGTGAAGCAGAATCTACAACAAAAAAACTGCCTCTGAGTTTTCATTTAGCTGTGACCATATGTAGTCATCTGTCTGCAAGACACGAAAGGAATCGGAAACTTTTACGCCTATGAAGAATGACTGAGCTAGTGGTGGATGACACTCCCTCCCCGCCTGTTACTGGGAGCTCTGAGTGTGTGTGTGTGTGTGTGTGTGTGTGTCCATTTACTGCAGGCAACACCGGACAGGACAGTATGTGGAGCGAAGCAGGGAGACAGCTGGTGGAATGGGATGCAAGTGTAGCTGGCGGGTATAAAGTTTCCTTCCAAAGGCATACCCAAGACCACCCCGTTTCCTCTCATACTGGCACTGTGCGCTCTGCAGTGGCTTTAGAAAATGAGCGCACAAGACACAACAAGAATGAAAGCAACGCACAAAAAAAAAAAAAAAAAAAAAAATGCCACGTGCACAACGCAGAAATCAACACAACACAAATACACACAGCCGTCTTGGGCGTGAACGCGTTACAACTCCAGTGTACGAGGTAACAACGCAGCTAGCGCTAGCCGCTGGAAAAGCTAACCTTTAGCTGCTGCTAGCTACATCTAACAAACCCATCATAAATGTTAGCTAACGACCAAGTATGAGGCAGGAAAACGGTTTTCATAAATCACACGTTTATTTATTCGTCCTTTTTTAAAATGTTCCTGCTCGGGTGAAAAGCTGAGATTTGTTGCTAAACCTTAGCAATGCCCCTAAACAATCAAAGCCTGGTGTATTTACGACCGTGGGGCTGAGAGTGAATGGTGAAATGCCGGTTAAGTAGTACCGTGCGAGCTACGGAATGATAGCACGTTTAAATGGCATTTTCCAGACTAGCTAGCCCACCGTACCCGTCTCGCTAAATTGTTTGAGCAGCAGCAGCAACATATTTGGCTTAAAATGCTCAGTGAAGCAGCTCCCTCTGGTCAACACGGGGTTCAAACGGCTCACAAAAGCCATTTGCTTGTGCAAATAACACGAGCTAATGCCAGCTAGCTGACACCGTGACGCTTTATTTTAAGTGGAGAAAAGAACAATCCATGAGGCCCAATTAAACCACCATTTACACCGAACACATTCATCCAGCGTTATCCCGAGCCCCGTTTAGCGCTACGGAGAGGTCCACAGACAACCACATTTGATCCATCCTCTTCCCGTGTTGGGGGGAATACCGTTATCCAGTACGCCGAGGTGGAGCAGTGTGCCTCAGTCTAGCCGGGCAGGACTTACCTTGCTTGCTCTCTATTTTTCTCGACATTTTCGTAGCCAGCAGCTGTGATCCCACTCGCAGTTCAACAAAACCGTAGCTACAGACGAGCCTCGCCGCGCGTCTCCCTCCGATTATTCCCTCATTTTCGATATACTGTTGTGTCCATGAGATGATTCCGCCGGGGTTAATATCGTATATTCACAGGCCACACACATTGGTACGGTCAAAAAACTGTCTCGGTCCGCGTCCGGGTGATTTTCACTGGATACACACACACACACACACACACACGCCACACTCACGTTAATGCCTTGAACCTAGACTTCGGGCAGAGCGCGCTCATCCAGTGTCACAGCGCCGCCTTGCGTCAGGAATTAGTCACAGCAATCTGTCAACAAGAGGATGGGCGTGTTTCAATTTCAATTCAAAGAGTTGTCACAAGCCAGGCTTCTTGGTGTGTTTATTGCGAGCGCGGAGCATTTTGCGGGGGGACAGCGGATGATTCACACAGATTTTGCAAGTGCTGCAGATGGAGCCATAAAATTCAATCCTCCCTGTTTAGCATGCACGCAGTGACACCATGGAAATTCACCAGTCATTAAGGCGAACTGAGCAGGCAGGGCGGAGTGTATATAGAATGCACACATACAGTAGAATAAAAAAAAAAGCCATCATAAGTGTTACATGACATGAATAGTTGAAGAAGTATGTAGATTTTATTTAACCCTCCTATTATCTTTGGGGTCAATTTGACACCATTCAGTGTTTAACATCTCTAAATAAGTCATTGACATAATTTTTTCAGTTTTATATAAAGGTCTATTTACACATAAACTTGGGTAACAATTTTAATTATGATGTTTTCTGGAGGTTTAAATTTCTTGGGTCAAATCAACCGATGGATAAAAGATGTCAGGAAATTTGAAGGTAACAGGAGGGTTAAGGAAAATATTCCATACACCTATTACATATTTAAGTTAGTCAGGTTTTAGTATACATATTATCGAAGCATCCTAAGGTTAATATTTCGATTAGTTAGGTACATTTCTACTATATATATTACTATAGTGTCTTAACTTCAACATCTAAATTAGTACATTTGTATTTTATATGGTATCACAGGATCTTTACGGTAATGTTCAAATTTCTCTGTTCAGTTTACATAGTAAATAGTATTGTAAGGTCCTAATTTTATATTTAATTTAGTCAGGTAAACTTGTATTATATATAAAATTGTAGGGTCTTAACTATAATATTTAAAGGACTCGGGTAAAGGTTCATACTAAAGAATACTGTAGGGTTTTAAAACCATTCGTTCGATAAATCTGATGCCAGTCTTATTTCTCTGTTGTAAAGCTCTTTGGCTGTTGTTTTAAACAGGCTACATAAATAATGCTGATTTGACGTACCGATGTAATAATACTCTGTAACAGGTCCTACATTCAAAATCCTACCTAAATAAAAGTAAAAAGCATTTAAATGTAATTTAAAGTATGTAAATAAGGGTGACTAAGTAAACAGAGTGAAACATTTTACATATTTGGATTATAATTATAAATTAATTATGACGCATACTGATTTATTGTTGCAGCTGGAGCTAATTTTATTAATTCATATCTGATTGGACAGATAAATCAGTAAAAGAGCATATTACAGTTTATACCAATGATCTGAAATGGAAAATTAACTAATCGTTAAAGCTTTAAAATAAATGTAATGGATCTATCTGCCTCCAAGGTATTGTAGAGAAGCAGAAAGAAGTGTGACATGGAACCACTGAAGTACTAGTACATCAAGATTGTACTTGAATACAGTACGTGAGTAAATGCACTTAGTTACATTCTCAAGGCTGTCAGCGGTCATTTCCAACCTCATCAACAAGCTCAGCAGCACAAAGTTAATGAAATAACGGAGGCGGCTGACTTCAAACAGCAAGTTCAGCAGTTCACAAACTTGACTGTACCAGCATCACTGGCAAAAGAGACGACAGACTGTAGCACAAGAGAAATGTCTGGTAAATGTAACACGAAACCCCACTGCAAAGGGCTGCTCAACAGTTTTGAACAATATGTGAACAATACAATCGATAACATTCTTTACTATCATAAGGTTAATAAAAGGAGGCTGAGACATCTCAGTTACACCAGCTACAACAATCCAATGAAACATCTCCACATGACAGATTTCTCTATTGTTGTTGAAATCTTATTGTTTCAGCTTCATTTGCTTTGGTTAATGTGGTTGTTGATAACAGTGTTATTTGTGTGTTTTCAGAGCATGAGACTGAAATGATCCTTTTGTTTCCTTTGTTGAAAAGCACATCTTGATCTAAATGTGATACTCAACTGTATAAAGTTGTGATGTGAAACACTGGAGCACAACACCAGGCCAAGACTCATGACATAAACAATAGCCCAATTGATTAATTATTGTCACTTGCTCTGTAAAATGGGACCTCTGCTCCTTATTCATAACCATCAACTTCATCTATACCACTTTCATTCCAGTGTTCTCATTTTAGCAGAGTTGGTCTGTGTTTCTTGTGGTTCAGGTCTCTGCTGTGTGTTTTGTATCATTACATATTAAATCATCCGATCTAACCGCTGCATTTAGAAGCAAAACCACATGTATTTTCTTGTCATTTTCCTTCAGTAGATTCCAATCCACTGACAGTAAAGCATTCTTTTTTTTACAACAATGACACAAACATTGTGATTGAAAAAGTTCTCATTAATATTTTAATAAAAACGAACCTTTTCTGGAAATATAGTGGTTCATATTAAAGTTTAGTTTGACGGTGATGTGTAACTGCTAAGTAGTTCCAGCCATTTACACCTTAAATGGAAGCGCAGAGCCCCCTGTTGGGCATACTGGAACCTCGATTTGATTAATTTATTGCAGCTTTTTTTTTTTCAGGTTTCTCCTATATACCATATACCACCGCTTGCTCGTATGGAAGGGAAATTAAAGGGCTAAAGAAGAAGAAAGAAGGAGGGATGACTTCCGATTTAACCCTGATTTCAGTAAAATGCTGACTATGACTTTTGCCTACTTAGTGCTGCACATTATCCCAGCCATTAAGGAGCAACCATCTAGATTATGTCTCTGGCATATCAAGACCAAGCAAGCAAGCCCTGTCATCTTTTTTTATGAATAATTGATCTGACTGACAGAATGATCTACATTCCCTGAGTGATCTGGGTCAGCATGTATGCTTGCAATGCACTCATGAACGCAGAGGCATGTATTAAAACACTGAGATAAGGCATTCGTTATACATTGTTGGATGCTCCTTTCAAGCTCTGCGCAGCTTACCTCATCATCAACTGTATTTAATCAGTTATCAGACGGAGGCCTTGAGTGTCAAGGATTCATATTTACTCTGGCTGTCATTATGCCTGCTCCCTTGTGCTCTTGCTTGCACAGCAGAAACCACACCCATATAACAAGTGCGAAGTGCTTTCTATGTGTGTGTGTGTGCGCGCGCTGGTGAGAGGTGTGGCGGCGGAGGCGAAGGAGTGGAATACCTTCCCCGAGGCTATGATAAAGTCACAGAAGGCAGACAATGAACTGCCAAGCGATGGCAGACTTGTCAGGGCAGGATAGGCCTCACAGCACAACCGGAGTAGGTCTGTTTCAGAGTGTCTCGGCGTTTCTTGACAGGCTACATTCAGTCTGTCAGTGGCGTAATTTGAATCAGCCAAGCAGTCGTCTAATCTAACAGCCATTTATTCAGTTTGGCTTCTAAATCTTGGCTTCACAAGGCGCCGTGAACCTTTCTGTCACAAGTGACAACTGATTACTGGCTCTACTAATGAGGTAGGATGGAAAATGTACACAGTGGTGATTAGAAGATTTGTACTAGTGGATGTCTGCCACATGTGACTGCTTCCAGTTTGGCATATGATTGCAATTCGTTATTTTTTTCATGTCACTTTCAATTTTGTCATCAGAAGCCACATAGGTATCCTGGCCACGCGGCGTAGCGCTTTGCTGCTATCTATTGGCTACACGGTACAGTGCAAACCAAACTGTGTCGTTCTGCTCTGTGCCACAGAGTGGTGCTCATGAACTGCTGATCGTTTTTGTGTCCTGGAGTTCAGCCTTATGCACCCTGTAGTGGTTTATTTGTAGCAATGTATAGGCAGAGAGTGGGATGAAATGTCATTTGAAAGGGATGAAGCCAATTTAACATAATCTGGCAGCGCAATGACAAAATAGTTGGCTTTTTGACACAACTCACAGTTAAAGTTGAGCAGGATTTTAGATTAGATTATGACAAGGCCTACGAGAAAAGTCAATCCCAACACATGAACCAAGTCTTATAAGCTGTCATATATTTAATAAAAAACTTCATACTGCTGCTCAAGTGATAACTAATCTCCTGAATGCAAACAGATTTTTGAAACAGCAAATATTCGTCAATCAATCCCCTTGCTTACATATTCAGGATCGAAATGCATAATGAATGTGGGAAGGTTCATACTGGTTCACACTGGGAAGTTTCACACTGGGCTTAGAGTGTAATCAGGTCTGCTGTGGGCTGGATACGGTTCACGGTAGACAGGGCAAAGAAAGGAGAAGCAAGACAGTTTTGTTAGCTGAGAGTTGTCAGTGGGAGCCGGGAGAAGAACGGTGTTTGATCTCTGCGGTGGTGGGCGTGTGATGCAGAGCTCAAACACAGTTTAAGGCTCTGTTAACCTTGGCCAGCGGTCAGGCCCCTCCGTCTGTCTCACATCTGAGAGTTGGAGAAAAGAGGGAGGGGATCAGCGAGGCTTAAACGACTGAATACGTTTAACCAAGAAGGACGGAAAAATACCTTCACAACAATCGGGGGCCTCTATCTTTGGCCCCTTTGGCGACATACAGTAGAGTGATTTTTTTTTTTGGAGCGAGCTTTTCATGGTGGAATTAAGATGGACGGGGTGAGGTATCAGTGTAGGGGTTAGACACAAGTAGGTGGAGACTGAAGATGGAGAGGCATTGGACGAAGAGGACAAGATGTCTAGGTCATAACCTGCTCAATACTGCATGAGAATAGAACACTCAGTCACTGCCACAACCAAACACTCTGAAACACGTTGGCAAGGTTGGAAAAATCAGATCTGGGGGTCACTGACAGGTTTCATGGAAAAACAAACAGTGTCGCACGCTATTGGCAGCATAGAGTTAAAAGAGCATAACAAGACAAAGCTTTCCCCACGTCGTCAACGGTATATATACAGTAGGCTTATGTATTAAGGGGCACACTAATATTATAACTGTGTGTACACATTTGTGGATGCGTACACACTCT